TAGTGAATTTAAGGCCATTTTGAGCTATTAAGGAAGGATGTCCTGTTCTTAGACAAATCCATTTTATAGACAAGAATGCCAAGTCTTGGGGAAAAATTAGATCAGACAACACCGATGGTGAAACATGGACTCAGACACAAGTCTAATTTGAAAAATCTGTGCTTTATGTACCAACAGGTCAAAGTCAAAGTGATTACTAAATTGCTTTTCCAGAAGGAGATTTTGTTAAGCAGATATGAACAGGCTTGAAAGGCCTGTTCCCTTAGGTCCCCATGCCCTGTGATCCTGGTAACACAGTAATTTTGAAGTGAACAACAGTGATAGGCAAAGGAAGGAGGAAACAATCGCCCTTCTTGCGATTCAAACCATAGAAACACTGTATGGAAGAGGAAGGCGGGAGATGGAGCACTCTGTTAGACTTGGGTTCCCCCTACTAAAACACAGCTATATTTAGTTCATTTTCTTTTTCTTTACTTGTCCTTAATCTATTCTGTCACATGATTTTGGTCAAAAGAATTCTGTCACATGATTTTGGTCAAAAGAATGAGCTCCAAACTGTATCTCTGACCCTGAGTAGGAACATAAGCCCCTGAACTGTCTGTCATGAGGTTCGTGGGATTTTTATCAGGAGGTTGTCAATCACCCAGACAGGAGAACACTCCTGTCCAAAGGGACCATTTCTACTCTCACTCTTGAGGTTGTTTTCCCGCACAGTGTTCTGTCTGGCCATTGCCCACTCTCACCTCCAAGAACAGTTTCCTCTATAATGGCCCCAGTGGTTGTTGGCTGTCCTTGCCTTGGAAAGTGTTTCATGTTATTTTGCTATAAATTTCACCCATTTTCTACGTGATGGTGTTGTGTCTTGTCTAAATTCATCTGACGGTGACCTCAAGGCCAGGGAGCCAAGGAGAGGCCAGCATGAGATCTGGTAATAGTCTCACTTTTTTGTTTGTTTGTTTGTTTCGAGACAGAGTTTCTCTGTGTAGTTTTGGTGCCAGTCCTACATCTCCCTCTGTAGACCGGGCCAGCCTCAAACTCACAGAGATCCACCTGGCTCTGCCTCCCAAGTGCTGGGATTAAAGGCGTGCGCCACCACAGCCCAGCTTAGTCTCATTTTTAGATCTTAAGAGTTGGCTTTAGAGTGTAGTCCTAGTCTCAGAAGACCCGATTTCTTAGCCAGCTTTCTGTTAGTATAATAAAAGACTTGAGCTAATCAATTGAAAAGAAGAAAGTTTATTTTGGCCTACAGCTTTGTAGGTGTCAACCAATGGTCAGTTGGCCTCATTGTTTTCAGACCTGGGGTGAGGCAGGATATTATGATAGGAGCTAAAGAAAAGGAAGCTGGTCATCTCATTTTAGCCTGGAGCCAAAGAGAGGAAGACGAATGGGGTGAGGTCCTAGTAGCCCCTTCAAGGACATGACTCCAGTGATCCAACTTGCTCCAAGTAGGTACCACCTCTTAAAGCTTTCATCACATCCTGTGATGGCTAAAGAAACTCCATTTTATGCTAGGCATCCGTCTTGGTCCCCAATAGCCATTTGTGGGTACCATCTGGAAGACAGGTTCCCAATAACCCTGACTCAGTGACCTCCACCCAAAACTGTGTAGCTGTGACTATCTATGTGTTATGATGACTAACTGCTTTTGGTTTCTGTAACCTGCTTATTCAGACATTCAAGGAATATTTTGAGGTTACCTTGTCTACCTAATCTTGGCAGAGAAAAACAGCTCTTGACTTGCTTGTGTAGATATTCAAGGTCTTGTGGTTTTTGCTTTTGGGAAGAGACAGGTAAAAAAAATTCTAAAATTTAAAGATAATTTTAAATACTAAAGAAATTAATAAAAAATCCTTCTCTCACTCCCCTTTGGGTGGCAATCTTAAGTTTGGCTCAGAGATTGTTGTTCTGCTAGCAGTTTCCATAAATTTAACTAATTATAATCTGGATTGAGGCTATGGTGTTTTCCTAGGGGTCACAAACTCCATAGCAATCTCAATGGCACCAGGCTGAAAGGCAAGCATCTAACACGTGAACCTTTGACCCAGTGGTAGACAGTTGAAATCTAAAGTATAGCACCTGGCTATCCAAACAAGTACTCATGTTCAAATAAGCAAGCCAGTCTGAGGTGACTGATGGGCACAGGGCTCTAGCAGTATAACAAGATCACATTGCAAATACAACTCTTGGCAGTCTTACAACTCAGGATATTCTGTCATAGACCTTAAAGCCCACCCCTTTGAAGTGTTCTCATCAGAGGAAGTATGGCAGTGTTTCCCAGTTAAAGATGGGCCTGTTTTATTTGTACCTTGATATGTGTCTCCTGGATACTCTTTTTAAGAACTGCTGTGAGTGTCCTTGGCATTCTGTCCTTTAGTCCAACTGCAGCAAGGGCAGTGAAACTGAGCTAACTCTTTTCAAGGCTTCCCCAGGCATAATTTTCTGTAGATGTGATTTACTATTTAAATAAAGGGGTGCTAGCTAATTTTATGTCAACTTGACACAAGCTAGAGTTATTTTTAAAGGGGGTAACCTCAACTGAGAAAAATGCCTCCACAAGACCCAGTTGTAGGGCATTTTCTTAGTCTGTGATTGATGGGAGAAGATCCAGCCCATAGTGGGTGGTGCCATGCCTGGGCTGTTGGTCCTGGGCTCTATAAGAAATCAGGCTGGATGAGTGGTGGTGGTGTACACCTTTAATTGCAGCATTGGGGAGGCAGGCAGGTAGATATCTGTGAGTTTGAGACCAGCCTGGTTTGCCAAGTGAGTTTCAGTGCTATGACACACAGACAAATCCTGTCTTGCAAAACAAACAAACAAACAAACAAACAAACAAACAAAAACAAAAGCAAAGAAAAAGAAAGAGAAAGCAGACTGAGCAAGCCATGAGGAGAAGACAGTAAGCAGCACCCCTTCACGGCCTTTGTGTCAGCTCTTGCCTCCAGGTTTCCTCCCTGTGTGAGTCCCTGTCCTCACAGCTTTTGATGATGACTTTTATATGGAACTGTGGTTGAAATAAACCCTTTCCTCCCCAGGTTGCTTTTAGTCATGGTGTTTCATTAGAGCAATTGTAACTCTAACTAAGACAAGTTGATATTGCTTTGACAGACCTGACCATGTTGTTTTTGGGAGGATTGTGGAAGGACATTGGGACTTTGGGCTAGAAAAGCCATTGAGTGTTGAGAGCTCATTGAGCTGTTCTGTAGGAACTTAGAAAATAAGAATGCTGAGAGTGGTGTAGACAATTGAGGCCTGGCTTGTAAAGTTCCAGCGGAAACTAAGCCTCTACTTGGCCTTTGTGTGAAGAATCTGTGGTGTCTGGTCAGCTGGAGCCAGAACCACTAACCACTTTGCTTTGCTGGGACAATGGATGCTGGTCAGCTGGGGATGGAGAATCAACTGTGATTAAGAAGAGGCCAGCATCATTGAGGTGAAGTCTTCTGGGAAGTGTTTCCTCAGGGTCAGCACACAGAAGCTGTTTTCCAGAGGTGGCCGAGGTTGTACCTCAAGCTGGCAGCTGACCTTGGTAGTGTAAGTTTTGAAGTACCAGGTAGTACTGGTTTTGAAGGCACGAAGGGGTTATGGAGAAGAGCTCAAGCTTGGCACCAGAGAGATCCTAGGAGAGGCCACTGGTGAATGTGTTGCAACTGTCTTGGAGATTCCAGTACTATGGGATGACCACCAAGAATAGTGGCAGCTGTGGACTGGAGCCAGCTGAGCCTAGAAGACAAGCTGTGTGTTCTGCAGAGGGCAGAGCCAACCAACCTTACCAGAATATTTCAGGACTCCAGTGAAGTCACACTCCATTTCAGCTGAAGCAAAACCAACAGTTATGGTCAAAACAAGAGATAACATGCTTGTGTGGCCTGAGACGTTTAAACATGAAATGTAATCTCTTGATTAAAAAAAAAAAAGACCTAGGAAAGTCAAGAATCTTTTAAAAGCAAAGTTACTGGTCTGTATTATCTTGAGAGCAACATGAACAGTGATGGTAGACTTTTTAATGTATTTTAAGTCTAGAGGAATACTAAGTAGAGGAGGCAGTAGGGCCTACTGCTTTGAGTGACAAAGGTGGCAGCTTGTGCTATGGGCTGCTTAATGTTGCTACAAGACAGCTCCCCCCTTTTTTCTCTTTTTTCCCAATCATTTCTTCCTTCTTTCATTTCATAAATTGCTTATTAAATATTTATTGTGGATTTGCATAGCATTATAGAGATAAGTAAGAGGTTATCTGTTTTCAGTCTCAGAAGTTCAAAGTCCTGGATGAGATGGATACATGAGCTAACGGTGATAGAAGGTGGGATGTCTGGGGAGATCTGCCAGGACAAGGAGGAGCTGGGAGCATGGACAAGCCATGCCTGTCTGGGTTACTGTGTGGACTCAGAGAGGAAACACTAGGTTGATGTTTAGAGAATATATTAAAAGCTAGTCAAGCAGGGAAGAGAAGACATTTCATTCTGAAGGGCTAGCTTGTTCAAGTGCTCCCTTGCTCCTAAAAGTTGTTGTGGTTTTTGTGGCAGGGTCTTCCTATGTAGCTCTGGCTGGCCTGCAACTATCTATGTAGACCCAGCTGCCTCTGCCTTGTGAGTGTTTAAAACATAAGTAGCTGCTCCTACCTTAGCGTTGTGAGTGCTGGGGTTACCGGTGTGTTCCACCACACCCAACTTTGCTCAGATCATTTCATGGGAAGGGTGGGGCAGCTGGAGTCACCTAGCCTGGTGGATATGAGTCTTGAGGTTGTAACATGAGCAGTAAGTGCTATCCTGGACCTCCAGGATATAAGTAAACCTAGGTGGGGCTGGGTCAGATACTGGAAACAAGGCACGTGTTTTCATTAGGTACCATTTCTAGTCAAGGGACTATGTCCCCAAACCAAATAAGCATGATATGCACATTTTTTTTTTTTTGTTTTTAAAGATTTATTTATGTATTTATTTATTTATTTATTATGTATACAGCATTATAACTGCAGGCCAGAAGAGGGCATCAGATCTCATTACAGATGGTTGTGAGCCACCATGTGGTTGCTGGGAATTGAACTAAGGACCTCTGGAAGAGCAGCCAGTGCTCTTAACCTCTGAGCCATCTCTCCAGCCCCCCATTTATTTTTTAATACCACCAAATAAACAATATCCATAGACAAGCTTGTGACCTGGAGTCCACAGTACATGCTTTCTGAATTAGTTCAGTAGCAAAGGCAGGCCATTCTACTAACTGCTTACCTCTTTAATTGTAGAGAATCCAGAATGGTGTGGGACATTAGTGCAAATGAAGTAGAATTCATCTCAAAATACAGGAAGGACAATCACTGGTTGGAAAGCCAAAGTCTGGGTCCATTTCTAAGCACACTGACTGGTATAAAGCCCACATGTCTAAGCACACTGGCTGGTACAAGGAGAAATGAGTCTGAAGGAGCTGAAGTAAAGGGCAGCACAACTTTTACAGTCATCGTCCAGACTCCAGAGCAATGAAGTAATCCACGTGCTGAAACTTGAGGACCTCGTTGCCCCAACTCATCCAACCTGGCTGTAAATTTCGAGCAAACAATTCCAAACACTGCCCACCTGGCTTGATGTAGTCCTTCAGTACTTCGGCCAGAGGTGGCTTATGGGAGTGAAGAATGCAGGGTACACTGACAATCAGTTTCTGATCTGGAACAGGGGGCACTTCTGTATCTGTGTTCCTAAATGCTAAAGCAGCTTTCTCTCGAACTCTCCCCAGTACAAGACATTCATAAGGCTTTTTATGTGGAGAATCCAATGGGAACACGAACTCCCCTGAACGTGTGATTTTTACCCAGTACCATTCTGCAACCACTTCCACAGACCATGAAGGATAGAGTTCCTCCTTCACAAAACACAGGTGCTTCTGCCTGTTGGTCACCCACGTAACAACCAGACAGTCGGCAGCAGCCAGCTTAGGAACAGGCATTTGCTTTATCTGCTGTGGTGATAAGCAACTGTACCTGTTACTTCTTTTAACCGATTTGTTCTCCCACGGTGGATCAATCACAATGACATCAAATGTCTTACCGCAGTTCAGAAGCGGCTGCATACAAGAAATGTCAGATAAAAGAAAGCTGCTTCTTGGTGGTAGCAGGTATTTCTGCCCCATTAAAGTAATCATTTTGGGAAAGCTAGAGCCGTTTTCAATGACCTGTGAAGATAAATCCAGCTCTGTAACAGACATATCATCTTCCGGCAACCGTAGCGTCTGAAGCTCCATTTCATTCAAGGCAGGCCACTGCTTTGCCATCTCACAGAATTCTGACAAATTGCAAGCATCAAGTGGTAAAGCAATGCGGCCACTATTGCCATCCTGTTTTTCAACAAGTGGATATAGAAAACCACTTTTGAGACCTTCTTGAATCAACTGTGAAGATCCATCCAAAATCAGCTCTCTGATCTTTGTGTGATACTCTATGGCATCCAATTCACCTTGATTGAAAACCAGACATCTTTTACGTTTCTTCCCAATAGAAATGGAGACTTCTTGTTTATTACCAGACACTAAATTCTCGTGGCTGTTACTTTGTTGGCATTCTTTGTGAACAGCTGAAGTTATGTGAGGTTTGGTGACATTAAACAGCTCAGGTCGGAAAACATATTTCTGGGTGATCATTTCACAACCTCCTCCGTCCTCATTGCCTGGCACAGGAGTAGAGTCAGGAGCGAAGCCCACAGCAGGAGCCCCAAAAGGAGACATGGCTTCCATCTGACGAGAATCCAGGTAGACAGAAGAAGTGGGCTTCTTCTTACTGCAGGAAGGCTCTTGATGACGGTGAAGTTGATAGTTGACCTTGTTAATGAAAGAAAGATGATCCAGTAACCACCCAGGTGGCAAATGGTGGACCACAGACATACTTTAAAAAAAAACAAAAAAAGCCCTGAGAATCAAGAATCAGAAGTAGGGCTTGGAGCGTAGCTCAGTGTGGGGGTGCTGAGTTTGACACCCAGTGTTGAAACAACAACAACAAAAAAAAAAAAAAAAAAAAGAATTTTTAAAATCAGGTTTTTAATGTCCTATATTTCAATGATGTACTTCATATACACAAGTATGTTTGATACACAAACATACATAGCACCTCTAAGTATTAAATGCAATACTTTAAATGTCTTTTAATTTTAGAGTTGGTCATTCAAATTTTTCAGCCAACTTGGCCAAAGGTGCTTTTAGAGTGATGGATCTGGATCCCCAGTTTGATCCTCCTTTCTTCCATTGCCCTCCTCGGTCCTGTTTCCGGTCCTCAGATTGAGGCACTAGTCTACATCATGCAAGTGTTCAAGTCACTTAGTCCTTAAAAGGTGAGTGTCCGTCAGAAAAGGTCACGCTGCCTCCTAGACTCTCCCCCATGGAAACAGCACTCATGTAAACCTGGTCCAAAGGAAACCCTCGCTTCCTTAGTCCATGGGCGCAGCCATGTTGCTGTACGGAACAGGACCCCGGGAGCGCCTGGGCCGCCCCATCCCGACGTCGCTTGTGTCCTAAATGCCAGTTTCGAGGATAGGGCCAGATTCCTCTCGGGACAAGGACACTGGCGACGAAACGCCAGGGGGACCGGGTGGCGCTGAGGAGGGGTGCACATTTTTTTTAAAACTTGATTGAATTGATAGGGTTCTTTTGAATGTACAAAGGGAATAATCTATAGTGTACTGGCTGTGCTTACATCCGATCTTATCTATGGTGTTCCTCACCGAATTCCTTCTCTTTCCTCTTTCTTCCTTTCCTCTCTCCCTCTCTGTATGTGTCACAGCACCATCTTATGGCAGTCAGAGGACAACTTGTAGGAGTTGGGTTTTGTCTCCTACCTTATTTTTGAGGCAAGATCTCTACTGTATTTCTGCCTCTGCACTTCACACTAGCTAGTCTGAAACTTCTCAGCAACCCTCTGTCTCACCGTCGGCATGCTGGAATTAGAGGTGTGTACTGCCACATCCAGCTCACATGGGCTCTAACTCAGGTGGCCAGCCTTATTAGGCAGATGCGTTCACCCACTGAGCCCTTAAAAGGTTAATATTCCATCCCAGTTTGGAAACGACAGTCTTACTGAAAACTAAAGCCCAAACCAAACCCTCTACAGTCTTCCAGGGTACACACCAGGGTTTGTGCGTCATAGGTGATGCCTGCCAGACTATGGAATGTCCTCTCCCTGGTTTCCAGGGTAACTGGCCACAGAAATGCCCCCACCTGAGGGCAGCCAATGAGAAATGGTGGTGGGCAACCACTCCCTTAGAGGTAATTTCTAGAAGTCCCTAGAAGTGAGCCAATCAGAATTGTATCCATACTAGCACCCCTAAATGATGTAACCTTGTGATTTTTCCCTTTAAAAGCTGAGCTTGCAGATAGGTGGGCACTTCCTCCAGCTTCCACTGTGTTGGATGTATTGGATGAAGTCCCTGCCTAGGCTTGTATATGCAGAATTAAACCTTGCTTTTGCATTCTGGCATGCTCGTCTTTGGTGGTCTCTCTGGGGGTTACAATCTGGGCACAACAACAGTACTTCCTACTAGTCAAACTTCTCTATAGAACTGTTCCTTGCTCCTGGGAGAGGAAATAATCTATAAGCCTTTGCAGGAAAGGATATATATATATATTCTTTTTTTCCCCCTCAAGTGTTTGCTGGGTGCCTTAAAGCAGTGTGGTAAATAATTTATAAATGCCCACACACTCTTGCAGTATGACTCCATCTTCTGTCACTTAGTTGATGGAGACTGTTTCTTCTCCCTCTAACTCTTGGGTGTATGACTGTAGCAATAACGCCCGGGCTACCACCACCCATTCACCATGTCCCAGGGGCTTTGGATGAAAAACAGAGACAAGAAACAGCGGGTCATTCGCCCGCTTATTCAAAGAGGGAGGAAACCTTAAATACAGGCTTACAGCACAATGGGAGAACCCCAGAGGGCAGAAGTTTCCTACTGATGTTTACAACCTTGCATCTAAGCTGTTAACTCCCAAAATGCAGGATACACAAACAAGGAACTTCCCTTAAGCATTTAGGAGGGTGGAAAGTGGCAGGGAATTAGCATAGGGAGGACATCTGGTGAAGGTCAGCAAGCAGGCAACAGCTTACTCAAAATGGGAAGGCCAGGGCCTTACAGGCCCCCCTTTTTTACTAAAAAGTGAGCTTCTGACTTAGGTTGTATGGGACATCAACCGGTCACCTTATCTGTCATGGAGACACCTGCCCTGGCCACACAAGTGCTCTGTCTTAGGTTGGTGAGTGTCCCCCAAGAATTACCTGTCTTTGAATGCTCATTATCATATAGGCTTAACCATGTGAGCTGTAACGTGCTGCCAAAGATCTCAAAGTGGCACTGGGCTTGCAATCTGTGTGTTCGACACAGAAAAGACCAACAGAAGTCCTAACCTACCCATAGCCAAGAGGCTAAAGGCAATTGAGCCATTCCCTTCCTTCAAGCCTTATGTAAATTGGAGTCCTTGTAAGATGGTATCCCAAAAGCAAATGGAATGTGAGTTTTAAATTTCAAAGCCAATCGAAATGTATATAATTACTGAATTAAATTTGTCATGCCCAATAGAATGAAAGAGTAATTAACTGTGGTAGCTACTTTTGCTGCCAGGGTCTCCATTGTGCTAGCTGTAGTAACCAATTATGAAATAGCAATCCCAGAAACAGTTGCAGCAGTGGCCACCACCACTATAACATCAACAAGGCAGCAGTGATGTCAAGTTCTCTTCTGGAGCATGTGAGCATCCACTGGCATGGACACAACTCCAGGAACACGAACCACCAAGGCCCATAGTTCTTGATCCCAGCACGACTTAAGCTGGCAGCTCTGCAAAAGAACAACTAAGAACCATAAAGAAAAAATAGACAGCACACAAGGAGCAGAACTAATGGTCTCAATAATGGCTACATTCACGCTCACAAATTTTTAAAGGTATCTTCAAAGGAGGCTAGATGAATTTCAGGAGGCCAATAAATGTTGCACAGAGCCATTCCTGAAAATAGGTACTACACCAGCTTGAAGAGGGTTGCAAAATATGAAAAGGCTTAGCTGGCATGCTACTGTTAACAAATAGAGGTCAGTGACCTTCATGGTTATCCTTAATCTCCAAGGTGTCTGGGTGATACATTCTCAAACATACTTGAAAGAGCAGTTACCATACATTACCTTCTGAAGAATCCAACCACATGGCTACAGTTCCTAGGCTTATATTAATGCTTGCCAAGGCGGGCCATATTGGGCTCTCAATTCCCACTGGCATCAGAAGGGGAGAGTTCTTCACGAAGGCCCAATAGGTCTCTGCCATGTTGGGATTCAGCAGCAGCCACAGGGTGCACACAGAGCTCAGGAACCCAAAGAGGAACTTCATTGTCCTTTGGAAAGACACAAACAGATCCTCGGGCCCACACCAACACTGGATCGGGTCCCCTCCAAGTACCAATAGAAAGAACCTCCCGTCACACCAGAGGATGATTTGCAACAGGAGCCCTCCAGTGCTTATGTGCAGCAGATACTCCAGCAGAATCCACTGATAAAAAATTTAAAATATATAAAACAAGGGAAAGAATAGAATGTGGAGAGGAGAGATGAGCCCCTAGCTCCCCCCTTTTTACTTTAGCAATATATGTTTTTAAGGTACGATGGCAGCGTTCTACTATAGCCTGTCCTTGAGGATTATAAGGAATACCAGTCTTATTAATGATAGAAAAATCTTTGCAGAATTTTGAAAATCCCGTACTGCTGTAGCTGGGACCATTATCAGTTTTTATGCATTTTGGCACTCCTATGTAAGCAAAAGCATGAAGACAATGATTCTTTACATCCTTAACCTTTCCCCCTGAATGAGCAGAAGCAAAAATTAGAGAGGAATATGTATCAGTAGACACATGGACATATTGTAATTTTTCAAATGAAGGAACGTGTGTGACGTCCATTTGCCACACATGATTAGGTAAAAGTCCTTGGGGATTAACTCCAAATGAGGAACAGGTAAAAATTCAGCACAAATAAGACATGATTTAACTATCTGGATGGCTTGTTCCTGGGTTATGCCTGTATGATGACAAAGAGATCCAGCATTAAGATGATAACATTGATGTAACTGAGTAGCCTTATCAAAGGCAGAACAAACTAATGTGACAGCCATACGAGTAATGGCGTCAGCTCTCTGATTACTTTCACTTAGAGGTCCAGGCAATTGAGTATGAGCTCTATTATGGCCCACATAAAGGTTATGAGAGCGGGACCATATGAGTCCTTGCACTTGCAATAAATATTCATGAATGGGAAAAATGGATGGTATGTAGGCTGCTGCTATCTCCAAAGGCATAACTGCATGTGCCACATATTGGCTATCAGTATAAATGTTTAGAAGCTCATCAGAAAACATCTGTAAAGCAAGCAATAGTGCTTGTACCTCTGCCATCTGGGCAGAAGTGCCCTGGACTTTCACTCTCTTCACTATGTTACCAGAAACTACCACAGCAAAACCACGTGAAGTGCCATCAGTAAATACCATATGGGCCTGAGGAATAGGAGTCATCTGTACTATCTTGGGAAATATAACAGGATGCAATTTAAAAAATTTACACACATCATTGGAGTGGTAGTGAGTATCAAACTGACCCTGCATGGAGCATGTCAATATGGCCCAATCATTATCATTAGCTTGCAACCATGCTAGTTGAGACTGGGTGTATGGGGTCACCACAATATCTATCTCCTTACCAAAAGTTTGAACATTAATCTTGATTCCCTTAAATATGATCTGAGCAACAGCCTGAGGATAAGGAGTAATGGTTTTGGCTGGAGAAGCTGGGGAATGTACCCATAGAATAGGACCTGTTTGCCAAAACACTCCAGTAGGTGAATGAGAAAAACAAAATATCAAATACAATAAAGAAAAAGAAAGATCTATATATTGTATATGAGCCTGTTCCAGGGCCACTTGCACACAATGTAAGGCTGTATGCCCTTCAGCTGTTAATTCATGGGGAGATAAAGGGTCAGGGTCGCCCTTTAAGACATCATACAAAGGACGAAGTTGACCTGTTGGAATCTTTAAAGTGGAATGAAGCCATTGAATATCTCCCAGAAAGGTTTGGAAATCATTAAGTGTGCGTAGCTGATCCATATGCAGAGTAATCTTTTGTGGACATATGCATGTGCGTAACAATTCATGACCTAAATAATGATAGGGAAAGGATATCTGTACCTTTTCTGGTGCTATTTGTAAATTAGCCAGGCTAAGAACCTCTTGTAATTTAGAAAAGGCCTCAAAAACAAGTTTTTTATCTTTAGCAGCCAATAACGTATCATCCATATAGTGAATTATATAAACATCTGGGAAAGCTTTTCGAACTGGAGCTAGGGCCAAAGACACATAAATTTGACATACTGTAGTGCTATTGGCCATTCCTTGGGGCAAGACTACCCACTGATATCTCTGATAAGGTTCTTTGAGATTTTCTGATGGAACACTAAATGCAAAGTGAGGACTGTCCTCGGGATGCAAAGGAATGGTGAAGAAACAATCCCTCAAGTCAGCCAC